CAAATCAGATCTGATTGGTACAGGAGGAGATTGTCCCTCCTCCTCCAGCAGAGCATCTGGTGGATTTGAACCATGTGCCTCTGGGATTGCAGTGCAGCTTCTTGCCACTAGGCCACCAGAGCTCCCTTATAGATCTTTATCAAATGACCGCTTCTTACTTTTGTGGGTTTGGGAAGTGTCATTTTAATGACAATATTTCTAATAGAGAGCTTCAGATGTGACATCTGACTTGATTGTTTTCTTGCTTGTCAAACCTCTCTACATGGAAGTATGCTCACAGTCTAGCAGGTGATGGCTGAGGGTGTCAAGAAGGCACCCAGACAGGACAAGTCACCCCCTGGCCAATGGCTTTAGCCTGACCTCTATCGCTTTTCATGTGATTTTAGAAGCAGCCAGATTTCCGCTCTGCGCTTGTCTCGGTCCTGCGGAAACAACAGTGCGAACATAGCGTCATCACCAGCACACCAGCTGCACTTACCTGATGCTGAGCTGGGCTGCGTCAGGGTCCTTGGCCATCACCGAGCCAATCCGAGGTTTCTTTTTGTTCTCTGGGAGCTGGAAGTAGTAGAACGGCCGCTGGAAAACAGGAGGCTCGTCTACGTCGGTGACATTGATGACGACACGAGCAATGTTTCTGATGGGCGAGCTGCCCAGGTAGCGGAGGTTGATGGTGGGGTCGGTGGCCTCCACGGTGAAGCTGTATTGTCTGATGCGCTCGTAGTCTAAGGGCTGCAGGAGGAAAGGGTGGTGGTGAGCCCGGGACTCTGCCTCTCTTGTCTTCACTCCGGGGTCACAGTTCTGAGCTGACCAAGGCTGTCCATCTACTTTCAACCGATAAAAAGGCCCTGACTGGCCCCTGTGGATGCCGGGAACCCCACACCCCACGCTTGACGTCATTGCTCTAGGCTACAGACCTTCATGGGCTTGATGATGCCCTCGTTACGTTTGGGGTCCATCTCGATAGTGAAGGTGCTCCTGTACTCGCCCTGCACAATGCTGTACTTGGTCTTCCGGTTCTGGGGCTCATCTGGGTCCTCAACAAACAGAGAGCCCAGGGCGCTGCCCACGCGGATGTCTTCGGGGACGGCAAAGTTGTACATGGCTGATGCAGACAGGTCAACACAAGGAGAACCGAGTTAATGTGAGGCACAAGGCAACTGCCCCTTTCTTCTCGTTGAACATGTTTTGGTGCAGCTAATGGGCACAGTGAAAGGAGGAGGAGGAGGAGGAGGATAGCAATAATTAGTAGTAGTAAGAACAGTACTCATGGCTAATAGTTCCAGTAAGTGTTATTCTTGATCCCAAAACAAAGATTCGCTCTGTCAGCCTGTCCGTCCAGCCCTCTCTGTGCAGCCATGTAGTTATCTAGCACCTGCGTGTGCCAGGCCCTGTGTCAGAGGCCAGAGGATGAGTTAGCTGACAGGTGAGACAAGGCCTGCCTTCAGGGAGCTTGTCACATGGCAGCCAGGTCACTTAGGGAGGAGCAACCTGTCCTTGGGTCAGAACTATACCTCCAGCACCGGAGGGTGCAAGTGATCTGAGCCTCCGCCTTCCTTCCCAGCCCTGACCAGAAGGTGTGAAAAGGTTTTGATGGACATTTCTTGCTGTGGAAACCCGGGCAAGTGAGGGCTGGGCTCTGCTGAGGCTGTGGGGGGGTGGGGGTGGAGCAGCACTGAGCCCCATCATTGGCTCATGGGACCTGGGTCTGACCGGGTGAGAACTGGGAGAGGTGGCTCTGCCACATAGTGGAACTCTAGGCCCAGTGGGGGTATAGAGTAGGGAGTGTGTTTCCCTCTGGCCTGTGAGGGGCCTGGAAGGGGCTGCTAGACAGTCTTGGGGATGTTGGAGGGATAGGAAAGGGGGAGGATGCTGGAGGGATAGGAAAGTGGCACTTTAAAGTACCAGAGGACTTCTCTGAGCCTTGGGCCCAGCCTTAGAGAAGAGAACCCCAAGTCATGGAATCTAGAGCCCTCTGACCCCACCCCTCCACCTAGGACACTGGGGGCACAGCTCACATTTTGTGAAGATGGGGAAGTTGTCGTTGACATCCTGCAGCATGATCAGCACGGTGGCCGTCCCAGAGTCACCCCGGAGGCCCAGGGCATCCTGTGTCCCCACCACTATCTCGTATCTGGCCTGTTTCTCTCGGTCCAAGTTGGAGACTTTCGTAAAAATGTTCCCTGTAAAAAGCACCCCAGCAGGATTCATGTTACCTTTCAAGAAACACTGATACCTTCCCCCCTCCCCAATACAAGCCTCCCTCTTCCCCCAAGAACCTGACTTAACTCCCCAGATGACTGCAGTAGTGAATGCACTGGTCTAAGCCCACCACCTCTGTAGTCTGCACTTGTGGACCCAAGCTGGCTGGACATTTCAGCCACGGTGGTCCTGAGCCTTGGTAACACTGTGTTCAGAACGCTCCTGAAGCCACATCTAGGCTCAGAGTATAAGAGTTCTGGGATGGATTGATGATGTCTGTCCTGATGCACTGTAGGAGGGTGGTGATGTCTGTGCTACATATTTGATAGTGTGCCCAGGCCTGGCCAGCTGGACTGATATCTTGCTCCAAAGACTCAAAGGCTTTTCATATTCTGTTCAACACATTGACTGAGCAGTTACTAGGGCTCAGCTCTCTCCATACAGCTATCAAACATCGCAGCTACCATTCCAGATGAACCCGTTTCTAGGGAACTAAGATTTATGAGTGTTAACGAACTTGACTGAGGTCTCTAGGGCTGCTGGGTAACAGAAGTGAGTGTGGAAACCGGGCTGGTCTGAACCAGCATCAGAGCTGCGAGCAGCATTTTCTGCTGCCCCTCATGTCCTCGCCTGGATGACAAGATTCTGATTTTGTTCCTCAGACTTGAGTCCGTGACTTGGACACCTTGCCCCCTCTTTCTCCTGCCAGCAGCCCCCTTGTCTTAGGACATGACAACGACTTCCCCACAGCTCAGTGATTGGCAAACCCTTTAAAAGCTAGCAGTTCCTGTCAGGCTGGACTTCCTTAGCTCCTTGCTCTTGGAATGCTTGTCCCCCACCCCGAATACTCCCACCATCTCCCAGATGGTTGCTGCCCAGGACTGTTAATCACACAGACCAGAATCATCGATGCTGAATTTGTCATCTCCTTTTATGATTTGGTACATGACGAGGGTGTGTTCCACCACAGTAGGGTCATCTGCATCCACCGCTGTCACACGGGTGACCAAGGTCCCTGCAGAGAGAGAACCCCGAGAGTGCTGCTTGAACCGCCACTCCTGCCCCCAATTCTGGGATCAGGAAGATGCATCTTAAGAGCTTCTTGTACCCTTCCTCAAGCCCCAAGGATGAAAATACTGCTTTGTGGTCTGGGAAGCCTGTGCTTTTATAGTGAGGACCCAGTCCTTTAGCCTTGAGGAAGACCATAATACGTTGCATCTGTGGGGAGACTGAGGGAGGGATAGATGCCTAGTGACATGAAGAGGAATAGGGGGCATGATGAGCTGCTTCCTCTCCTGCAAGGTGAGAGCAGGCAGTGGAGATGCTTCTAAAGTGGTGAGCATCACATCTTTCATGCCCTTCAGCTTCCCTGCCCCCACGCTTAACAGGAAGGTATGCTGAGAGGGTGGGAACAGCACCCCTTTCCTGGCATCCCTTGGGGACCAGAGAAGGGCTGAATATAGAGTAGAGGCTGCCGCAGGCTCAGGTCCAGGCTAGTGACATACTTGGGGCAAGAGCTCTGACTGCCCACACCTGTCCCCACGGTCCTTAGAACTGGCCTTTTATATCTTGCTGCCAGAACATAGCACTTTTTGTTTGCACATTTTACCCCCTTAGTATGCCGGTTCTGACAGTCATAAGAAGTGAGACACACATGCATCTCTGATGGTCGGGATTCAGCCCAGGGCCAGGGAAAAACACAGACTGCAAATCATGATCAAGTGTTGGACAAGTGTAAGGGTCAGGTCTCTGTCTGAAATGAGCATCAGAGGTCAGTCTGTGATCAGAAACAGGGCTCAGTCTGTGACTACGGTCTTGGCAGACTGATCAGGTGAGGACTAAGTCTACGCATAGGGTCAGGGATCAGTCTATGTGTGGGGTCAGGGCTCAGTCTATGT